AAATTTCGCAAGCTCGCTATTCTCGCATAAACTAGGGCAAAATTGTTTCAACCAAACAAGGTGAAGCACCTAGACTTAGGGCTATTGCAAGCAGTTTTGAGTGACCTGTCCTCAGGCTCTCTTTTTCCTTTTTTTCTTATTTTTCTATTTTTTCCTGGTCTCCGTTTGAGCCTGATCTCAGGCCAGAGAATTGGGCAAATCGGACAAATCAAGACTCTTCAACTTTTTGATGGAAGACAGCTAAGAGACAATAACATTTTGAAAAAGGCAAAAACTCGGAAAATTCTTGAAAATCTTCTTATAAGACTGACTGTTTGGCATAGAAATTTAAACACAGAGAGTAAAAATATATTTTCCCCATCTAAGTACAGCATTAGAACAGAAGCGAATTTCATGACAGAAATGTCATGAGCATCTGAAAACAATAGGAACATCGACAATCGTCTTTGTTTACAACTGCGAATGTCCTCCCAAACCAGTTTCTGTTTGAAAAATTTCTGGCATAAAAAATAAGATATAGGAGTGTTTCCGTGTCATCTTCAAAAGATTCTTTTTAAAAAACGTTAAATTATGCTGGACTTATGGTCACCTTTTTTCACCCAAAAGAAATTCAGAGTCTAGTGAACTATATGGAATACTTTTTATAGAATCAATAAAATACGTTTCATAGAAGCTTTGAAAGAAGGAGGTACGGAGAGATTTTCACATGCTTCAGGGATAGGACTGACCAAATACAGTAATTTAGACGAAATGCACTCTGTAACGGTTTATGTGCCACCTATAAAGCATAATGTTGGAAGGCATTGGTTATGTACCCTTTGGTGAAGTATCTTGTAACTAATATCTAGAAACATTATCTTAGATACATTTTTTAAAGTGTCTAATGTCTTGTAATAAGAATAAGAAACTTTCTTTTGTGACTGACAGCATCTTTTAGAGTATCTTGCCCATCTCTAAATGGCAGGTTACCCGACACTTTCGATTTCGTCCTGGAAACATGAATGGAGGAAGGTTACATTCCAATAGTAGATTTTCAGATTAGGCCAATTTCTGCTTTAGACTATGGTTACTGTGTGGTATGGACGTTATAACTTCTCTTGTCAGAACTGCAGCCATAGCTATAGCATTGCTCTTACTGGCCAACAGTTAGGCCCTCTTCTTTTACAACGGAACTTGGATTTCTTGAAGTTATAACATTTCAATTTCAATTTCATGTGTATTCTTAGCTTAATTACAATAAACTGATCTAATCAAACAATTAATCAAGATACAAATTCAGTTTTACTTCAATACATATAAGGTTCAGATATTTAAAATATTTATTTGTATCTATAAAAGTTATAGCTGAATGACACATGGAAATAACCCATAAGGGCTGTCGAGCCATGTGCCATCAAATGTGAATTTTGCCTGAAGTAATCATAAGTCAATACACAATATTAATAAACAACAATAATATTTTTTAAACTAAGAATAAAAAATTTTGAAAAATAGAAAAGTTTGTTTCGAATATGATAGATACGTAAATCTAATCTATTTGTTTGAGGGAAAGGAGGCAAAAATTAAAAAGGGGATAAAAAGGTGGTGGAATGCTTTTAAAACTTTGTTAGGGTTCTTGTCTTTCTTTGTGTGCCGATACTATAGCATATGTAGTGGAAGAGGGTACTAGTATATTGAGATCATAAATTTTTTTAAGGCTTTAGCAAAAGTTGTTTTTGATCCTGATTGTCTGATGTTTTGTAGAATGGAGTTCCAAACATCTACACCAACATTTTTTATGAAATTTTTACCAAATTTTGTTTTAAAACTTGGTTTAGTAAAATTTCTTGAGCTAGCATATCATCTTGTTTTGTAATTATGAGTATTTTGGCTTTTTTAAAGAGTTTACTAAAAGAGGTTTCGGCTGTTCTTTTGTTAATATCATACATAAATTCAGCACACTCGAGTTTGTAACAGTCTTCAAAATTAAAAGTGTTTAGGCATTTAAAAATTGGTTTACCAAGTTCGGCCTTATTTTTGAATGTTATAAGACGTACAAATCTTACAACACCATTGGTTTAGAATTTCAATAGTATGTCTCTTCCATAAGTATCTTTCAATAGTATTAATTCTTCTACTGTACAAAGCATAAATGTATGCATACCTTTATGCATACTTGTCTCTTACCTTAATAAATCCTAGGTACGTCCTTTTGGCAGCGAAATGTACTGAAGTGAAGTGATGCATGGGTAATGCCGGACACTGGGCAATCACGGACAAATCTACTTAGGAATATTTTTTTTGAATCTGTCATAAACATTTAATAAAAATATTTTAGAAGCATGTTTGGGTACCTTTTATGTTTAATTGTTTTTCTTTTTGAGTCCTTTTCTTGTACGTCTAATGAATAAATGTGTTTTTAATTCATGTCAGTGAAGTGAGTGGGCCTAAATTCTCTTGGTTTTCTACTCTTCGAAATCGAGATGTCTCTCTCTGCAGTGATCAGGGAATGCTCAATGTTTTTGTTTTGACTTCATGCTATAATTGATTGCATGATTAAGAAATATATTTTGATTGGTTAACATGGGTATCCTCATCGCATGGTACGGTTTTGAGATTCCCCAACGTTCCTGGACGAAGTATATTGCACGTGCGCATGGGCAATGCCGGACAGCTAATGGGATGATTCCCTGAAAAATGGCATGGCCAGAAAATTTTGATAAAACCTATACTGATGGAATAAAATATCCCTATTTCCAGCAAGAGAAGGCAGGTTTCCAGTTTAATATTGTTTTTTGCAAGATACAATGAATAATACGAGTTTGGATAGAATCCCGCCTTTCCGTCAGAGCTCATTTTGGCAAACCTTTGATGATACATGTTTTCAACTAATAAAGACATTTATCGGGAAAATATTACCATTTTCCACCATAGAATTAAACTCTTGCATTATCCCTGGCCTTATATCGTATTCTTATTTAGGTCACCGAAACTGTGTTGTGTTTAATCTGCCTGTCCGCCTTACCCGTTGATGCCCGACATTACCGACATAGAGTGCTTATCGCTGATTTCAGAAAAACAACAAACTGTGAATGTAATGTAAAAATAAATTCATCAGAAAATTTCCTTATAGATATGTTTTCCTAAGAACAAACAATTTTATCGAAAAAATAGTGGTATTGACAGATTGGCAAAGTAATTGAAGGAGTCCGACATTACCCATGACTACTGGCGGTTGAAATCCTTCCGATTAGGGATAGCTAGAGGGAGAATTTTTGGGGGGTGATGGGGGTACTTCATGAGTCCGTCGGTAAATCTTCAGTTGGTCCGCAAGATCCTCAGTTTGTCGGTAAAGTTGTTCATATAGGTGAAGTAGCACCTAAATTTTTCTTTGTGTATGTCTTGGTCGGTAAAATTTACTATTGATGGCCCTCCACTCTTAGTAAGGAAGGTAAAGCTACGCCATTGCTTCCGATATGAAAATCCTGTCCTTAAAATCAAGGCATTGAGAAGGATCGGATTTACTGTGGTGGTCTAGCAGAGCATTTGCAGTTCAAGGAGCAGGTTCTGCGTTGGTTGCTGTCAGCAATGAACGTTGTTAGCGTTGGTTAACTCTCCACATCTCAATGTTCCTATGGTAACTGCGAGGTTCCTATAGCAGTGCCGCAATATTATTATACGTGAAATCTGCTGAAAAGAAAAAGAGTATGTAGGCTTGGAGACATGTCGACCATGTTTACATCACTACCGGTTGTATCTCTAGTGGCATATATTCGATGCTCGCTCAATGAAGATCATTAGTTCGATGACCTTAAATCCTAGCAAATGTAACTTTCATCTTTTCTAACAATTTTGTCATGATAACAATTAATTAAAGCATAATATTGATTAACACTCACGATAGTTCTTATCTAGTCAGGGTGTTAATTTCCCCGTGTGACCACTGGTCACAAGAAATTCACTTTTAAAAAGTATTCTCACAAGAAATTCTCAACCATGACAAATAATTTAACTGATTTATACCTTTTGCATGACGTTGGGCAGTTTTGAAGGAAATAGAATGCTCGCAGAAAATTACCTCGTTACATTGAAAAAGATAAACTTTTTGCAACTATTTAGCACAGTGATATTGTACTAGAGCAGCTCAAGGGGATTAGTTTCTTTTGCAAAATGTAACAAATTATTACCCACTCACTGTTATGAGTGCTTCAGATATTTTTCGAACACAGACAGAAAGTGCTATATAGAACGAACCGACCTCCTATATTTTTAACGCAATGAATTCCAATATAATTAATCAAACGTTGCAAAGATATGCCTGAAAAAGTAAATGTTTAGAAAGATTGCAAGAAATGACGGCAAGAAATTTCTAAAATGCATTTCAAGCTAATAATTCAAAGCGTGGTTGCAGAAATTTTCAGCTCGCAGAGGGGTGCATCTTTTGACTTCGCACCTGGACCCCCGAAACCTCTTCGCCGCTCTGATAATAAGCATGACAAAAGTACTGATAAAATCTGAAATTTGGTTTTTTTTTTAATTTTTGTAACTCCTACTTGTCTTCAACAAGCAATTTTTTTGCAGAATCGAAGTTTTTGAACAACAAATTTCATAGCTATTTTCAGGAAATTTTTTATCCGAAAGTTTAGGGTCACAAGAGGACTTTGAAAACATAAGGCCACACCCTGATCTGGATTTTGCAATTCTTTGAAAAAACAAAGAAATATCATTTCAGATTGAGACTACCATCTGTGGCGTTGGCATTCTCTTTCAGAAAAGTAGTACTATATTTTATTATAAAGAGGCTTTGGAGGTAATAAAAACCTCTTATTTGCTTAAGTTACTTAATAACAGTGCTAGAAGAGCTGAACAGAGCTGTTCGTTAATGCATACTGTATGCCAACGTTAATTGTGGGTAATCGAAGAGTTTAAACTAAGGCTCCTTGCAGATGTACGCCCTATGCCCCTCGATAAAGAATTTCCGTGAACACATGGCTCTGTTTGGTACTTGCGTATATCTTTCTAATTAAAATTTGGCTTCCACTTTTGATTATTAAGTGACTTTTGCGCATGGGCGATTAAAAGTGATAAGTTGATATTAATATTTAACGCGTTTTAAACTTCAAGCTGTTTTGATGTGAGGGTCAATTCATACAGCAGTGTGTCCGAGCACTAACAGTCACCAAAGCTGCAGCGTAAAGTTCTTGCACGGTTGTGAATATCCATCCTTGCTATTCTTTTATAAAGTCTTGCAGCGAAAAACGTATTCAAGTGCCAATTGTCGTCCATTGTCAAATCAGAGGAGCCAATGTATTTGCCATTTTGCCAACAATAGAAAAAGAAAAGAAGGAATTGGCAACGTGTTTTTTATTAACAACACAATCGAATCGAGATAGCGAACCTTTGCATCAAATTGTTACTGGGGCCACTGGGGACCGGATGATGGTTATTCAATTTAACGTGCTATAAATGTTGAATTTCTATTGTGATTGTGTTGATCGTGGACACTTATTGTTTTTCTCGGTCTGATCTTGGATGGGAAATCAGTGGAAAGGCCTTTCAACGTTTGTGGATTAGAAGTAAGAAGGAATTAAGAAATAGCACCAGACTCCATTGTCCAGATATATAAAAAGAGGAGATAATTCGCTTGCGACCGCCACTTACAGAAACGTCGAAACTGAGGGAGATATTTTCAGTTAAGAGGTAACGCCAGACGAAGAAAGATCTTCAAACACGCAGCTCGCTACAATCATGTCCTATATAGAGGAATTAGATCTAGATGAAGAAGGTTTAACAGAAGAAGAAATCAAAAAGCGAAAGACAAAAATTTTCGTTGGTGGGTTAAAATATTCGTCAAAAGATGACGTACTGAAGGAATACTTCAGCCAATTTGGTGAAATCGAAGAGGCAGTTGTAATTTACGATCGAGAAAGTGGCTTATCGAAAGGATATGGTTTCGTAAGTAAATTTGGCAGGAGTTAAGAAATTCGTATTTTATTCATAAGCTGCTTTTGAATTTATTTCATGCGCTCAAACCTAGTGGGAGTTTTAATTATCAGTTTTAAGCGTTGATAAACATAAAAAGCAATTATTTGAGACAAGTCCATTGTCTTATTGTTTTGAAATCTTAGCAGACACTTGAATATCATTATGATTTTTCAAGTACTTGAATTAGTTACTTTTCATAGACTTTCCCTTCACCCATGATAGAAAAGTCCCTGTTAGAAACTGCAAGCTTGGGAACTAACAAAGTTTTACCTGCGAAACAAGTATTAAAACGGACCTTGAGCATTATAATTTCTTAACTTGAGCCTGTATTTTTAATTCAAGCATTTGCTGCTTGGTAATAGTAAGTTATCCATTGTCAAGTAAAACACAGTGATACAGATTCATTGTAGAAGGCACAATAGTGACCTGTCGTTGGATAACTCTTTTCTACTCCTGCAGGTTACAATGTCAACTGACGAAGCAGCCGAGCTGGCTATAAGGGACAAGAGTCCGCGGCTGGATGGTAGACGGTGTAATGTTAACCTTGCTTATATCGGCCAAAAAAAGAAAAATATTGGCTTAACCAGTAAGTTTCCACTCTTCTTATCACTTATGAGAAACTTCTATGTGTCCCAAATGGACATTTTCGGTCCAGATCAATCATACATTTTTTACCCAAATTCGGCATTAATTATTTATACAAATGTATTCTTGGAAGGCCTATAAAATCAATATATACTCAAATACTTTTGCCGGTTTAACTAAAATGCCCCTTGAATCCTTTTGATACTGATACTTAATGGTTGACTGTGTGAAGAAGCTCTGGAAATATTTATATCCTAGCGCCATGCAGATAGCTTTGAGATGCTAGGTATCTTTCCTTCCCACCTTCTTGCTGCCTTACACAAACAACGCTTACACATAATGAGAATGCAGTTCGTACAGCTATTCTATCCGCCAATCTACCACTTGATAGCAAGTACAGGTTTGAAAATGCTAGGAAATTGAAGATGGGCGACAAAGACTTTGAAAGCAACACAAGTTACTCTTCAAAAATTGCTTGCGTATCGCAACAGCGCTTTCACAAGGCAGTTTTCAAGGGAAATTCGTCAGCAACCGTCGCACTGACAGCTTCAGTCTTTGCAAACTGCTACCAAAGTGAACTTGGCGCTGTCATGCTGCCAAACATCAGAATTCATTCTTCTGATTTGTTTTCAGGCGAGGTGACAACTGGAATAAGTTTAATGTTAATTGATTGGTTCCATCTTATACACTGCATTTGTACCATCTATATTCACATTTTATATTAAAAAAGCAACTAGATATTTATGGTATCAACGCAATTTGTACGATATAGATCCAGTCAATTAATGCAGTGCTTAAAACTTGATTATTGTATATCTACACAGAAATACAGATTTAGCTTTTGAGAACATTCTGAAATCCTATTTCGTTTAATGTTCCATGAGTTAAATGATATGATCTATCTGCAATAAATATGTCTTGCCTGTTACAAAGCGAGTAAAAAGTGAGAAGGGAAGACAAAACGAAGCTTATTTTATTACACCCTCAGCTATGATATCTCAACTAGAACTAGCAAATTTATTCACTATCAAATATCTTCTTGTGATATCTTTAACAATTAAGTAGTGTTTACTAGCAAAAAAGTTTTTGCAAAGAGTTTTAATCACTTCTTAATAACCTCTCGGCAGCTGTGAAATTCTGCGACATTTATCAAGGTTTTTCTGCATCAGCTGACGAGGTGTTTAGCCTTTCTATTTAAGTGTGACAATTAATCGCTATATCGAAATTCCTGCGCTAGAAGACAAACGTGTTTTCATTTGTATTAATGCACAATCGTTGCTGGTATGTGTAATAAGCTCCTTTGTTCTGCTTTGCAAAACAGGTAGAGAGTATAAATCGTTCGAATCTAGCCACTGAAACACTCTGACCGAATCTGTTTTCCATCTTGTCTTTTACCTTGTTTTTCAATTGTCTTTTACCTTGTTTTTCAATTGTCTTTCATCTATCCACACAATTATGTTGCCCTTCTAGATACAGGTTTCTGGTGTAATATTGATTGATTTACTCCATAAATTCATTGATGAGATGTTTTGTTTTTATAGGCAAAGGCAAGGCAATGTCACTTCAAGCGCAGTTATTTCAAAGTTCCCCGTCTTACCTCCAAAACAGGTATGCAATTTTTTTAAAGTTGAGGGTATGCACTTCTAGCCTTTGGGTTAGACCTTCTATCTATAAGAATCAAACATGCAAAAATTTGAAGAAATTAACGAAACCATCTTTCCTTCCTTAGAATCTTGTCATTTCCTAGAATGAATTATTTTCTAAATTGGGCTCAAAAAATGGTTAGACAAATTAAAAATAATCTGTGTGAGCGAGAAAATTAAGCTGTTATCATATCTTGGTGCTAGGCAGTCAACTGAATACACAAAAAGCAAAATAATAAAATGCCCAAAAGCGCCTGTTCTCTTCGTAATTTTTTCGCATTTTCATTTTTGATGTTGTCATCGTTTTCATCTTGATTTCTTAATTCTCCATTGCTTTTATTGAATCTATTGGTTAAATTAGTATATGTTTTTGTATGCATTGATGAAGTTTTTAGCAGTGACTAAACAGTAGTTTCAATCTTTAGCTACCATTATGGGGAAAACCATCATATAGGGGTCTCACGATTAAAATATGGCTTTTAGGCTATTTACACGATTTCCTTTGGCCGTGGGATTGTGTATCTGTCTGGCCGATTCTTAACAGTGGTAAGAATTCTATTGAAGCATCGACGAATGGACTGCGAGGCATACTAATTGCATGTGTCACCTTGCTCAACATGCAACAAGTTTAAGCTTATTATCAATAAAAGATTCGATATTAAGTTTCTGGGTGTTTTGATAAGTTCTTTTGAATTTTAGAAATACAGTTTTAGTGCTGGAGTTTGATGTTTTGAAACGGTTTTGTAATCCAAGATTAGTCTAACGATGGCGAGGCCATATGCTCGAGAGTCTAATCTGCAATAAATTATGTAAAAGAGCCCATATCTCTAATCGCGAAAAATCTTGTTAAAGGTCGATTAGGACAACAGATGTGCTTCATTGTAATTCATTCTTACAAAACAGTTATCGAATTTGTTTCTTTTACGATTTTTCATTGTTAAGATTTAAGAACCAATTTTTTCTGATGACATGCATGAAGTTCATTCGTTCTTCAAAACATTCCCTTTCCATACATTCGATACATTCTTCAATTTGTTATGTGCATGCAACACCGTGACAAATCAAGCAGAATGCCAATGCAGTAAAGAAACTTATAATGTTGAACTCAAAATTAATGTTAATGCCTATTATTTTTCTTTGCATGCTGACCACTGCTAGGCGACAAAAATAATGGGTCTGAATTAGTTGGCTTCTTTGGTTGGCTTTGCTATATATTTGTTGAATTTGATAGGAATAAAACGCACGAGGGATAATCACTTTCATTGATAATTAACGCCAATTACATCAACTTTGAAACACGTTCATTCCGGCAGCCATTTTCCATGGTAGGACACACGAATAAGTAGGTAATGACCTAACTAAGAGGGCCTTACTACCCACAAGGGCAGTGAGCTTATGTCATATGTGTCAAGGGCAATTCGAATTGAATAATGAAGGTTGAAGATCAAAGTTTTCATGGCGCCACCGTCCAATTACTCGTGCAGCCAATAGCCTTAAGGTTTAATAATGCAACTTAAGTCAGGATAAGATCTTTCTCATCGTTGAACAGATCAGCCTACATTAAAAAGTCACCAGTAAGCTTCGTGAAAAAATATTTACAAATATCATTTGCGTTTTATTTCTAAATTTTGAATAAACTTCCTTCTGGGATATTATCAGCAAATGAAGAGCATTGAAAATGTCAAACGAAGACCGTGACAGCTTTCTCTTGAGTTTACAGAACGGACTAAAGTCTGCATAAATATGATCTTTTGGCGTTCTTCTTGTAAAATTGGACAGTAAAGGAAACATTGAATTGGGTATTAGTGACCAAAACAAGTTGTGCCCTCTTCTACTGCACACTTGTATGGTGATAGTCGCATCAGCCTGAATTTCAAGATGCCAAAGTAACATATCGATTCAAACAAAGTTTGTAGATTCCATTTAGTCCCTATCAATGGCTCAGAATGTTGAAAAAGAGGCTATCAGAAGCTTGTGACAAAAAAGTGACGAAGACTTCCCTCCCAAACATTGCACTTACGAATTTGTTTTTCTTTTCACAGTTATCATCAAAAAGTTATGGCAAACGGCCAGGTTTACTACACTCCGGCGTCACCACAAGTCAGATACCCAGTTTACGGTCATCAAATAGGACTGCCCTATCTAAATCATTGTCAGCACACGTATTACACTGTGCCAGGCTCATCCCCGACCTTCGATCAGCGAGACGGGTCTTATATCCAACCATACGTTTTGCAGCAGTTCGTCGTTGCTGGTAGCAATACCAATGGGTTCGCCACCCCAAATGGAAGTCCTGCAAGCAACAACAACACAAGCAGCGTCCCTAATTACAATCAAGTGGCATTTATTGGCCAGTATCCTGTGCTTGTGGAAACTTCAGGAAATCCGTTGGGGCAAGTTGCAACAACAGCAACAACGTATGCGACATCTCCTGGTCCGTCGTGCACTGCGAATGGGTCCCCACAAGTGTTTCATTTTCATCAGCAGGAAATTGCAAACCAATAATTGCTAAACGCTAAAAGCTAGAGGCGAGTAAATGATCACATTTCTTAACCAATATTTGGTATCTGGAAGGGATTCCGATCTGCTAGTCAGATGAGCGACAATTTGGTAACTTAGGACAATTAAAATTACCTGATATAGGTCAATCGTAATAATTTACTTTTATAAACTAAGGAACTTTATATTTATTAGGTAGTCTGTTAATTCCTAAACAAGGGATCACTTTTTTACCGATAACCGAACAAATCTTATATAAGAGGGCTCGTGTAATAATGTCGTTAACAGCATCTTCTTCGTAATTACAAATGATGTAGCTTTTTATTAATCTTTAAAGTTGATACGAATATTTAACAAAAATCGCATAATTTTTATAGCTAGCAGTTGCATTGAAAATTGGCCTTGTAATTTCACCTGCAGAACGCTTTACCAACAATGTGGCATGCATTTTATGCAGCAAGGCTCGAGAGCGTCTGAAAGAGCATCGTTTCAATGCTAAAAGGTTTTTTTCTTTGCTAGCCTAATCTTTTTTCAATTTTCAATGCAAGATAGGTTTCTATAATTTTACTCTGATTTGCTTCTTATTTTAAAAGCCCTCTTGTTCAGTATTCACGTAATTAAAATTAAGATCAGGTAGCGCAACTAGACTTTGTTATAAATAATAACAATTAGAGACGTTTTTAGATGCTTCGTTAGATTGCTTCTGCTATTCCACTGTTCACGGTACTCAGCTTTAAATATACTCTGCCTACAAAGTACTAAGGATATTATCTAAGTAAAAATTCAAGAATAAGTAATTTGAAGACAGATAAATCTGAAGAGCAAGTTTTCCGCATTTGCAACAACTAGCATGCGTTTTGAACTTTTGGACTTTCTTTGCTTTTTAATCTAATTTCTGTAACTATAACCAACAGATTTAGATGAAGGTTTTTTATAGAAAAACATCTCTTATAAGGTAGGAATATAAAGATTTTAATACCAAGCAAGAGGATCTCTGTTTCAATACGAATATTATATTTTCATTGTTGTTTCCAGAATTAGCTGCGGCTGGCTTATTTAGCAAACCATCCAGTCAACCGTTTTGTTTAACAATTTGAGAAGGTACCTACTTGTCCCATTTTCGATTTCGTTAAAGGTGGAAAGACTAAGAAAAATGTTCTTGATATTAGGCTTAGCCTTGAGGCTGACCAATTACCGGCCCAATTTCTCCTAAATTGAAGACATTACACGGTACTTGCATACAAGGATTCGAATAAACTTTAGAATCAAACCTTCATTGCTTTTGCAGTATTCAGTTCAGAAAACCGTACATTGGGAAGCACATTAGTTTAATAGTTGCATGTAAATACAACAATTAAATAAATATTGTTAGATTCTTAAAATGTTTCTTCCCTTTCTTCGAAATTTCTTATTCAATCAAGAGTTGCGAAGTAGACATTTGATGCAAGGAAAAAGAGCCCTTTAACAGGTTTTTTCAATCTTATGCCAATACCAAACGTTTCAAAATAGCAAATTTTCCAAATTTTCAAAACAGCAAATTTGAAAAAGGGCAAGAGCAAAAAGCAAAGACATTCTTCGTTAAGGTTTTTCTATTTTGATATGCTGTTTTGCAGAATTGAATATAATTATATTCTGTTTTTGATGTTATGGACGTCACGACGTTTGATGTTATTCGAATTTTTTCGCAGGTTTAGCGAAAACCAAGTAACAAACAATCAATGTACAGCCCAGCGAGGCTGTTTTTCGCTAATCCGAGGCAGCACCTCTTATTCATAAATGTCTAACCATTTTTGTTTGCTGACCAAAGGCAATATCCCGTGATTAAAAACAGGCTAAATCGTGACCCAACATATGCACCATCTGCTTCACCAATCTACCTCATTGCAGTTTCGAGCTCTCCTTTGCATATTAAATAACCTTTATCTACAGATGCGGTTATACTTTTGATTGTAAAACTCAAATAATGCCTTTACAAAACTCGATGCTTATTACTTTTGCTTAACTCGTTGGCTCTACGATCATCTATTTCAACATGTGCATTAATCTGCACGAAACCAATTTTCACATATCTAAATCAATGTTTTCAGGAATTAGCGCTCACCAACAACGTCATATTCAAATCAACCTCGTTTCCATCAAAATGATGTCCTTATTACGAAGAAGTAATGCCTCTTTGGCAACACAACAATTATGTCATAAGCTAAGATAAACATTTAGGCCATCTTGTCATCCAAATGGAAAATTCATGGCTCGGATCTAAACCTCTTTATTGTAACACATTTATGGCAGTGACATAGTTAACCAGGTTTTATTTCGATCCAGTCCTTGGCAAAGGATAACTTAGAAACATGGCAACTCAACTTCCCTTTCTTTCAAAGTAAGACCTGGAAAAACCTTTTGCAGGTGATTGTATCGCTGTTTTTTTCTTGCAGTTTAGTCTTCACAGAACCCTTTGAAAACCGCATTATCTTGTTTAGTATGTATTATAAAAGCTCTAGGCTTTCATTTCATATAATCTACAGAAAAAAGTCAAAGCATAAAGCATCATAAGAATTTAAATGATGCGGAACATATCTGGTTTTCGTTCTCTGTCAACCAACCAATAAAACGCAGGCTCTTTTCGTCACAAGGGCATTCTAATTTCATCGAATTCTCAGCATAAATGCTATTGCTTAAGCTAAACAGATAACTACTTATCTCAGCTTTGTATGGGATTGTCGGATCTCAACTCTCAGCTAATGTTCTGAAAAGTGGGATAATTTTATATAATTTTGATAACCAGTAATCGAAATTAACACGCATTACTTAGGGGCCAAGATCTGTTTTGGGTATTCTTCAAGGTTCTTGTCTTAACCCTTTCTTTGCTATTGTTTAAAAAATTAAGAGAAATTAAGAGAAAGGATATGAAATTTGCTGTATTTTCCCTCTTTGCTACAAAGCCATAAAACATATACAAAGGGTGATAATTCAAAACTAGCTGAGGATCAGGTTAGGGGTCTGGAACACATGCTAAGGATCAACTTAATTACAGCTATCATAAGCTATCAATGCAAATTGCAGATATATTTTATATTTGACCAGTTATCCAGAAGCACGAAAAAATGCAGAAATCAAAGGTATAAAAATGAAACAAAGTCAGATGCAAATGAATTAAAAAATGAAGTTTAAAAAATCGACTTGTAAATAGATGTAAAGAAAAACGTGCTAAATCAAAAAACAAGTTGATTCCTATATGGTTTAAGTAAATTTTGGGACCTACAGAGGGCTAAGGTCCATTAGGCTCCGTCTTTCACAGTTCCTGATTTGGGTAGGGGCTCTCTCTTCCAGCCCTGCCTTTCCTGCGGCAATTAAAAGAAATTTGGTACACATCTTTGAATCGTTTCACTTACTTTGCCAAAAGGAAAAAGAAATTGGATTGCAAATCCATCAAGTGCCGATGCTATTTGAAAAGCCGCGAATGCTTGACTTCCGACAGGGACAACCAAAATCTTAAGGGCTTTGGCTTCCCTTGACATCACATGCTACCACTCCTTATAAAAACTCTCATTTCAGTTTTAAAGTATCTAAAGGTTGAAGTAGGTTAAACGTGGTGCGCAATAGCCTCCGTGGACCATGGTTTCAAAGTGATTGCTACACAAAGCTCGATGACCAATCGATTTGTTATGTAACAAATCTAATATGGCGAAACCATAGAGATGGGCGAAACGCGCAGGACCAATCACAAGCAATCACGAAAGGCAACAGCTAGTTGTAAAAGTATGGCTTATTAGTAAATACTCAATTAATATTAATAAGTTACAGTTCAATGAAACTTGTACCTTACAATTCAATGTGACAATTAAATAATTTAATATTAATATAATAAGACAAAATAATAATCTCAATTGATAAAAGGTCTTACTAAGAAGCACACTTTTAAGAGACTGAAAGCAAACTTTCATTCGTCGCTGATTTCGAGAAATTTGGGACACAGGACAAGAAAACAGAGAACTATAAACTTGGCTAAGGTTGCTTCCATTATGTTACCTTTTCATTGTCTAACAATGTTTTACTAGTGAATATAGAGGTAAGCTTGGAAATTAAGTTAAAATGAGGCTCATCTAAACCACAACACAATGTACCTTATTACGGAACATTTGAAATCTGTGGCCTTTCCGCTTAAAATGACTAATCATGACTGATCGTAAGCATAAGTTTGCTCTGCTTATCACTTAATCATGTTTAATCGCATTAATCGTGATTGATTATGTCTACAGTTAAGAACGTTTTGACAAAAGTATATTGTCATTACGAAGTCACAATAACAAGTGAAATCAGGTAATCACTTTGATCTCGGCGAAAAAGGATAATCACCTATACTGAGCTCTTTCGGTTTTTGAAAATACTCTACCGTTTACAATGGACATTTTATGACGCCATTTTCACAGTAATAACGAGCAAATAACGAGCCTGAAGATCATGCAGATCATGTGTCAATTAGATAAGTTACAAATCCAATCGCACTTTGACAAGTGGACGTTTTCGGATTGTGCACTGTTTCCTCGATCTCAGCAAAAGGAATAAAGGCCGAACCTCACCAACTGCGTATATAAACGTAAATCATAATACAACTGCCAAAATATATAAATAAAAACTCATTTTAATGGCCAACTGTTTTACAAACTCAGAACCCTTGATGGCCAACTGTAACCAAAACGATTGGTGACTTCTTGCAAAGATGTTTCAGCTTCAATGTGTGCTCCTGACACTGTTCTACTGCATAAACGTGAATCTTTTCAATTTCTTCTTGGAAAGCATCATTTCCTTATTATTTGTTTCGAGGATCTACTCCTAAGAAGAAAACACCGTATGCTCAAATATAATAAAATAACACACGGGACGAAAGCAAAATAGTTCAACAGTCGATGCGATGATACAATGCCAGTTCTTTTTTAAGGTCTAGAGCACCAGGTCTAGCGCATAGAGTGGATAGATTTAGTAAAGGAAAGTTTTTGGAGGCTGAAGAAAAATTTTCTCTACAAATCCTGACAAAGTTATTCCAGCTACCACAGCTTCTACTGAACAAATCTTCAGCACTCCAATCTGTTGCTGTGCTATTTCTCCCCCACTTACACTCCTCTAGTTCTCTCTTAAGACACTTGCGCGCATCTTCTCTTCCCTGTTCATGACCTTTCTCTGCTTTATCGACAAAACATTCACAACATATCTAGACTAACGTGTAGTGGATGATCGACTTGGATGATACTAGTGGAGGATATGGTATATTCTTAACAAAATCTTATCACACAAACTCTGCTCTTTCGTTGAGAATATATATAAACGTCCATGTCAGTTCTATACTATGATATATCTTTTTATGCTATGATATATCTTTCTATTCTATGGCACAGTAGAAGATCGCATTAAGCGTGAAACGTGGCGTGGCAATTCAGAATCGTCCTGTTCTATACATTAAAACTGTCTTCTTTTCCATGACATATCTTTCTATAGTCTATACTATAATATGTCTTTCCATACGAGAAAGACTATATCAGGAAGTCTATAAACGCAACATCGTCTTCAAGCCCAAACAAATGTATACTTTAAATTGCTACAATTCACAAATGTATACACTAGAAAATCTCGTTTTGATCAATGTACAAATTTATATTGTAACAGAAAAACACGTTTCTCAATTCTTCATTGTAAACACATAAAAACTGGCAGTATTGTGCACATTTACGTAAAAAAATTGAACTGCTTCTAAAATCTCAAAAAGTAAAGGCCTGGTGCATTTTATCTTGTTTGGAGATATTCTAAATAAATCAGAATACTATTGATACTATCGATAATAACTCTAAATGCTATCGATATTTACCTTTGGTTTTTCATCATCTTAAGAGCTGCCTTCATCATTGGTCTCGAAGCTGAAAGAGTTTATTTTAATTAATATTATAATTCATATAGACAATAGCTAAAAATTCTGCAAAGGCGGGTAAAACGAGATTCCCGCAAAATTTTGAAATAGCCCTGGGGGGAGGGGCTTATCCAAAACTCGATGCAACAAAGGTAGATAAATCTAGTGGGGGTTAAACCAAGAGGGGGGCTTGTTCGAAAGCAAGCCTATTCGAAATGTGAAGATATCAGACGAAGGAGAAGCTTGTTTAGCATTCAGAATATACTTAAAAAACAACAAGATATGTGACATAAAACTAACAATGAATTCCTTGATAAAAAGCTTTTCAATCAAATTATATGACGCTACACATTTAGGTGAACTAACTCAAAAGCATTTTAAAAATGTATTAAAGGGGACTTATTGGAGAGAGGAGCTTATTCAATGCTGGATGCTAAAAAGGAGGCCCTTTATTCAAGAGGGATCGCTTGATCGAATAATTACATTACCTTAAAGAGAGCCTTAAAAACCTTTTTTGATACTATCCGATGAACGGATACTCTGATAAATTTATAATCAAGAAAATACAAGAAATATGATTAGAAGGCCTTCTTGTTAGACCATCTTAACTCTATGTTTTCTTGAAAGAATGAGGCAGCCTGGTTAGGATAAAGATACTCGCGCAATTAAATAAAGGTATAAATGATTAGGTTTAAAATTAATAACCCAACAACGGCTTTTTAGGGAAAAATTAACGAAAAAAGACATTCTTCCGTGACGTACGTACCCGAGAAATATAGATAATGAAAAAATTCTTATTCCAAAAACATTTCTTTCACAACTGCAGTTGCATTTGTCAAAAAATCCTGAGAAAAGCTTTAAAAAACGACAGCACACAAGTACACCTAAACGATGGCACTGAGAATAGTTCATGCGCAAACGTTTTTACCTATGGCTAAATGATTTCTTATGTTTTTAGCGTGAGTATCTTTTTCAACATCCTATTTAAATGTAATAAGGATGTTTCTGTTTCTATCCTAACTTTTTCGTTAATCATTATTTATAAGTCTGGAATTGTTGGCGTTCAAAGTACAAGTTTGAAGAAGAAACATGCCATTTTCCAACAATGAAAAACTTTGCTGTGACTTTTTTTCGTGCAAAAAAAATTTCGGGCAAAATTGACGGACGGTAAAAGTTTGGGACGCCTTACTGTCCGCAAATAATTACGTCTGAAATACATGGCGTTTAATGAATACCTGGTTTTTTTGTAAAAACATTGGTCCGCAGATTATTTGTTGATTCTTTTGAGCATCTATCACGTCTTGGGATTTTTGCAAATGGAATAGTGTGCTCAGCTTCAAGCTTGCGCCGATCTTCCAACTCTCTTTTCAGATTTGCTGCCTTGTCATTTTTCTCGGATACTGCACCACCAGTACCATGGGCCAGTTGTTTTCTCCGAATTTGGACAGATGGTTTAGGAGGTCCTGCTACATATGCAAGCTTAGCTTGCCTGGCTGGTTCCTTCTGAGCTTGAGATTGTGAAATCTTCTCCTGGATACTCTTCAATTTCTCAACTCTTTCAGTGCACTTACGCTAGCAAATAATGAAGGGAAGGGTTTTAAATCACAAAGAAGAGCTGTTGGGAATCCGCCATTTTGCATCAACCACGTGTAATTTTTCAGTTAGTTCATTGATTTCGTCGGGTTCTTCGTTAGTCATGCAAGTATCTTCTTCTTGTTGTTTTAGAGTAGCATTTGCGTCAAAACCTCACTTTAAGCTGAATCCGTCCGAGGTTATAGGAAACATTTATACCACGCCCGGTCATTAGATTATTAAACTTATTCAGAATAAACACCTGACTAACATATCTGCAAATTGATTGGTAGTTATAATTAAAAGTTCGTAACTCAAAACTAATTAGCAACGTAATTAAACGTATATATTCCACAAATTTATTAGAAAAAAGAGAGTGTTCGACGCAGGAGTCCACGTAGTGTTGTAATCGTTTGAGATTTGGAAAAAGACGGAGATGTAAAGCAAATAGTTGTATTTTGTTGGATTCATGTTTCTGCTCTTGGGTTCTCTATTCTGATACCAGCGAGATTGGAGGTTTTCCTCAACAAGAGCTATTAAACAACATTTAACCGAGTACTCTTACAGAATATATTGCCAGCAAACGAACAGCAATACCTTGTAAAATCAACATATTCTAGAAAATCATATGCTTACTAAATACAGCTCCCTCCAAGATTCCATGTCTTCTGGCTGGCTTCCCCTAAACTCTCGCAAACAATGTTTTTTCCATAGCTCGCCAGAGTCCTCAGTAAAATACTAAGAAAATAACACATAACATTAAAACCGACATAACAAAAACTCAAGAAAAACTCATGAGAAATAGAACAGCATTAATCTACAGAAAAAATCTAGATAACGAAAAATATCTTCAATATCTGTTTGAATCTGAAAGAGGGTACATAAGGTGCAATGATGCTTTGAATATCACTTACTGGGTTGAATTCTTCTAGACGTATCAACTGTGCTGGCGATGCTCTGAAATATGCACCGAGCCAAATAAGCAAACATTAGCAAAAACTGTTGAGGTTCATTTAATATTCAGCTGTGCAATTTCCAAATAGTTTTTATTTCAATATTTAGCACCAACAATAAAGAGAGCAAGCAGCATCAAGCAATAAAATTGTTTGATGAAAATATTTCATTGTTACCCCATCAAGACACTGAGGGGCATGTTCTACTGAGTAATAAAAGAAAATTTAATGGTTATTTACACATAATGAAAAACTTACTTGGCCAGCAGTGGTTCAAGAATCTCATACGGCACACCACCTGTATCTTCTAGTGCTGAAAAACATGAAGGATGGTCAAGTAACTGTGAAACAGTTTGCTATCTTCAAGACTGACTACCTCAGAGCTGAAAAAATTCTCTAAAACAACAAAGACAGAAGCAAAACAGTGAGTTTAAGGTACCCACCATCTATATTTTCAATCAGAACCTTCATACATTGTTGATACAGGGAAGGCACAACTGCAAACAAAAAAACATTTTTTTTAAAGATTGCATTTCCATGACAAAAAAATGCATGGTAAGTAATTATTGTTAAGCAACCTTCATCATAGAGGAAATATTTTCGATATATTTAAAAACAAATAAATACAATATTGCAAACATACCTCCACTGTAGCAAGACCTTTTGCCTGAGAAGACCTGGGTCCGTGATTTCCTTGAAACTAGACTGACTTCCAGCTCTTTTTCAGAAACATTAGCTATGGCAAAAAGGATTATCAATACATTCTACTTTGAAATAATGAATAACTTAAGAGTTTTTTCAGTTGACAGTCCATAATGGTCACTGAAGAAATTGTTATTACAGATAGGGGCAAAATAATAAAAAAACAACTATAAGAAATAAAATGACTGTCTGAAATAGCTCTTCAGAAAGATATTACTCTTCTTGGTGGCTTTTAAATGGATTTGAAAAAAGCAAACATTTGCAGACCAAATTCTACTTCAGCCACAAGGCTTGCAATTCCCTCCTTGGTATAAGTAGCAATAACATCATCCAAATAGCCATTTTCCAGAATAATCTTTCTTAATTTGTCAAGTTCCAAGTTGAGTTTTGACTTGGGACAAATCATCTGTGGCCAAAAGGACCCTGTGAGTCATTGCTTTGATAAAGTTGATTTTTTGTTTTTTGGGCAAAGAATTGCATAACATGTAGGTACAATATACACTGGTGACAAATCCAGTGCCAGACTTTTTTACAAAACATCTAGAGATGGCAACTTAATTTTTTTCTTTTTAAAAAGTCAACTGAAGGGCTGGGTGAAGGTTTTTACGAAAATAACATACTCAGCTTCAGTTTTGAAAAGGCCTTTCTCCGAGCAAAAATATGAAAAGGTCCTTCCCCCAGCAAAATATTTCTTATTTCCAGTCACGTTTTAAAGGCAAATCTTTTTCTAGACTGCTTTCTAGACTATCTGGCTGTAGTGTAGACCAACCTGAAAAAATGGGTGTTCCCTTCCTGGACCAGCCAGTTCCCCATCAAGCACCTTAGGGATTGGTGGTGATAATATGAGAAAACAACTTTCATGCTCAACATATTCACAAAAAATGATAATTTGATCAGCAAATAAAAAATAAATAGCTTTGAAAAAAGCAAACATTTAGTAAACTAAAGCTTTTCGTCTGACACTCTTCAGAGTTTAAAACGTCAGAACATAGAACGAAAACTCTACGCTAAGAAATATATATACCCAGTTGTGGATCAAAATAGGCCAATCAGAAACACGAGCACATGACTGTAAAGGTTGACCAATCAGTGCCGCTTGCCTATTAGAATGTAGCCACCTCGGTCTTGCAAATCCAAAATTACTAATAAAACCTGCGATTCTGCTATCGGGCAGCATTTGCTAGAAAACCCAGATTGTGCAAAAAACTATAATGGCGACATGTTTCGGATTATTGGTAAAGCCCGATCATCGTTCCACCTAGCAGTTTTAGAATCTATCTACATAAGCACGAAAAAACCGCTACTGTGTAGACAAAAGGAGTTCGTTTTCACCTTAGGACTCCATTGGTAACATTCTAATAGGCAAGCGGCACTGATTGGTCAACCTTTACAGTCATGTGCTCATGTTTCTGATTGGCCTATTTCGATCCACAACTGGGTATATATATTTCTTAGCCTAGAGTTTTCGATCTATGTTCTGACGTTTTAAACTCTGAAGAGTGTCAGACGAAAAGCTTTAGTTTACTAAATGTTTGCTTTTTTCAAAGCTATTTACAAGTTTTGTACCACCAAAAGATTGTTTGAATAAAAAATAACTATACCTTTTTTTCGCTGCGACAATTCTATGTCATCATCGATACCAGAAAAGTGTAATGGCCTGTATATTCTTTGAATTTCAGGTAATTCTATTTCTGGCAGAGAGGGCATTTCAACATCACGTCTGACTTCAATCACATGCTTTTTCTCTTTTGGTCTCTGAAAATATAACAATAAAAAGAAGTGTTGACAGATAAATTAAACCTTCAAAAACATGCAATTTCTCTACCTGATTTATGGCAAAGTGGTAATGTCTAAAGACAGACAACATTAGATAGATGAAGAAAGCAAAAAGACCCTATATGAAACACTAAATATGAAAGATTGGACTAATTCACAAAGTAACTATGGTACAAGTATGTTTTATTCATCCAAGGGTCTTTGGTTTGAGTCAGTGAAATGACCAAGTTTTCACTTTCAGTTAAGAGAATCACTAGCATTCTTCCATCACAAGTGGAGCAAATTTCAAATGTGCTCACTTTGAGAGGAAGGACCAGGACATGCTTGCTAAGTATAAATGCCTGGAATCTTTCAGCATTTGGAGAAATGAGCTGTCATTACAATTATTGATAGGTTGCAGAAACATCAAAATGGCATTTTACAGCCTGCTGTCATTGTCTTGTTGCTTGAAATGATTAATGAATGATGGAAAAATTTGTAAATGATTCAGCAAAGATATTTTCTTTTATTTTCCCCCACTAAGTAATAGCTGTCTGCTTATGATGCTTGCAGTGTTTCAACCAAATGAAACATTCTAGAAAACAACCTAAAAAGTTGTCAATAAGTACAAGAAAGCTGTTTTGAAAGCAAAGAAAATACTGAAAATTAAAAAAATAAATATTTAATCATTATTTCATAAAAATGCCCTATTGCTTCCTCCATAGCGAGTTTAAAGAAATGCCATGGCAACAAAATGAGTATTTCTGTAAAATGTCTAGCTTCTCTCTGTTCTAAAACTTATCTTTGTAAGTTAGGTAGCTACTAGTTTTGTTTCTTTGTCCAAAATAATGTTATAAAAGTTTGCCAGTATATGATATGTTATAAAGAAATGGCTACTTCATGAAAAGTTCATCAAAATAAAAGGACATTGTATATTATACATTGTTTGGAAGTAGCAACAAATGAAGAGCTATCCACCATTGCTGCAAGTGATTTTGTAAAGAAAAACAGATAATAAAGCTGAATTAACTGGATATTTTTCCCTGAATGACTTCATGAACAAGTGACTGTCATTCCCTGCTCACTCTTGTTATCTGGGAAATAGCAAATTATGCAGTAGAAATAAATGCACTTACTGGAAATACTTTATCTGCATATTTTTCCACATGATTTTTACTAGAATTTTCATCTTTAGCCTTTAATTTACTCTTTTTCTTCTTGTTGGAAACTTCATTTCCTAAGAAATCTAATGATACATCTCTCCATGGATCTTTTGATTTACCTATTGAGTTCTTAGAAAAATCATTCCTATTTTGCTTGCTATGTCCTCCTAAATTGCTTTCTTTTTCCAATTTTTTCTCTGGAGCCTCCTTTACTTTATGTTCAAGTTTCATTTTATTATCTTTATCTGTGATAAATTTACTTTTCCACAACTTCAAAAGATCATTTGCAGCATTTCCAAGAATTCCTTCATGCTTTTTGAAAGTTTTCAAAGTCTTTGCAATGTTTGTTGACTAAAACGATAAGAGAAAGAATGCAATGAAGACTGCTTTTTCGAGAAAATATCAAAGCTACTTCATTAAAATGGAAATAAAAAACAAATAGTAAAAACACCTTCAAAAATGGAGGAAATGATTCTTCTTTGAAAAATGATATCAAAACGCCAACTAAAATTTTTTTGTTATCAAAAACTGTGCTTTACAATTGCATTTTCGACAGGACAGGTTTGAAAAGAACAATAGATTCTTCTGCTGATGACTTCCATTGCAAAGATTTTCTTTACCATGCAACAACAGAAACAGTTAACCTCACAAAAAATCAATTTGATTTCACGATTAATGGATTGCATTATTCCAAGCCAAAGCACAATATTGTACTATATTGTATTATAAAACTATATTGTACTGCATACCCACCTTCAGTATGCTGATAGTTACTGGCAAACTTTGAAGATTACCAAGATATTTAATTATCTGAAAGAATACATATATGTATTGAAAAATTTTAAAACAAGAAATATATGTGCTCCTTATAAAGCTTTTCTAGCAAATAAGTTGCTTCGTTTAGAATTCACATTTTACATAAAAAAGACACTCAATCATTTGTACATAGTAACTCTGGTTTGTAACCAATAGAATCTGACCTTAGTATGCTAAACAGAGTTGCCTTTGTCTATCACAAAATCCCTCAGGCTATTATAATAATTTCTGGAAATACAGTAAGCATATACTACCGCCATGCATTTCACTATTGTGTCTTTAGTATAACCAATTTACATCTCTTATTATACTAACCCAATATTATTTTGATATTCTTCCCCTTTTTATTGTTTATCCACATTCTTCTCTTTAAATTGATATTACAGTTTTCTTAGCCTTTATTTTGTCACAGGTACACACCAAATCAGGCATATGACCTAGATAGCTCCTTGTGAGTTTTTTTTATATACATACAACAGCAAACATATTAAACTTTGAACTACCTACTGTATGAAGTTAATTATTGCTGTGAATGGAATGTTTGAGTTTGAGTACAGTCGACTACACTTATATTCAATTGGCTTAACGTCACTTATACTGGCTACAGCAACAGGAATTTTTTGTTACAGTCACAAAGTCAAGAATTTTCAAACAAAATTTGATGAGACTATAACTGGAGTCTACTGTTTGTGGTTCCATATTTAGTGATTTACAAGTGATTTACGTTTGTCGATTTAAAATCCAATTTATTTGAAACTTTTCTTTTTATCGTTTTATGCTAAAACACCGTGCGCTTTTTGTGTATTTGATCTTCATTTAGAGGCCTGATCGACTTTCTGCACTGCCTCAATAAAACCAAATTATTTCAGCATCCAATTGATTTGCAATTTATCTATTTCATCAAATTATGTGTTTTGATGCAATAGGTATAATAAAATGGCCGGCTTTGGTTACCTTGTAGTTGTAAGGAAATATAACAAAAGTTTTCCATAACAAAATATTGAAACTTAAGCAAAGTACGACTTGAAGAAAAACCTTTTTCTGAGGTGCTTGTGGGTCAGTTATCTTTTTCTGAATCTTGGTGACATATTTTATTACCACTTTCTCTTCTTCTTCGTTCATTTTGACTTTCAACAGATACGTCAGCTGAGAAAATTTTAAGCCACCATGATTTAACACCAAAACGAGACTGCAGTATATTTGGTACGAAGGATGGGTTGTAATCATCATCATCATCATCATCATCATCATCATCATCATCATCATCATCATCATCATCATCATCATCATCATCATCATCATCATCATCATCATCATCATCATAAAAAAATTCATGAGTGCCAACCACTGTGCTGCCAACCCCCAGTCAAGGTACGTTAAAGCTTGATTTAATGAAATATGTGAAAGGGTACGCCGTTTATGTGCCCCTTGGCCTTTTGTTTCGGGCACAGCTTGCACGATTGTGGAGTTTGTGTTTATTGTAGCAGTGCTCGAGTAAGCATTATATCGTGTCTTATCTATACGGCTAAAGCAACAAGCGTGCAAGTGTGCATTGGCCTTGGGTACATAAACTTTGCCTTGGCATAGTTTTATTTTCACACGCTACAAGATAACCTGAAGTTAGACGTAGAGAGGAAAGGTTTTTCTTTGCGACCCTGCCCACCCTACCCATATCTAGGTATTTTAGGTGTTTGCAGGCATGTTAAATTCATCTTTCTTTTCTTCGTGCATTAGTTAATGGCCATATGGCTTGCAATTTTTGCATGAACAAGGTGTTTCGGCGGAAGAGGGCCATTGTTTTTCTTCTCAACCCCCTCAAAAACGGTTGGGTTTTTATTTAAGGTCGTCTTTGCGATTGGCGCACCGACAGCCAGTGGTGCTTGAATTTCAGGCCATCAAAATGGAATGACGATAACTCGAGAAACGTGTCTAACTATTCAAAGAGATATGGTCTTTCAGAGAAAAGCCTCGCTGTGGAGCATTCCTTATTTGGAAAGTCTGGCTTTTACCAGTTACTTATGAAAGAAATTGAGGAAAGAGCAAAAAATGGTTTGAAAAATCCGTGCCTACCATTAATTTTGAAGCTGTTCAAGGAAAGCGATCTGCAGAACCTCTACCCGACATTGCATAGAGCTCTGATAATAGCAGCATGCATTCCCGTAACAACTGCATCATGCGAAAGGTCACACAGCAGAGTCAAATTAATAAACACTTACTTGCGTGCCAAAATGGGGGAAGCAGACTCGAGCAGTTGGTCATTATCAGTAGTGAGCGAGATATTTCAGGTGCAATAGATCTCTACAGATTTCAGGAGACATTTGCCATAAAGCCAAGAAAACTTCCTCTTCAAGCTATAAACTACAAACATTCCTTAAGCGTTAGAATTTCACTCTTTTGAAAACATTATGTAGTAAATTCCAATTAGAGCCTAAGTAAGAGTATAAAAAGACTTTTATTTTCATAATACATTCTTGTTTGGAAGGGTGTGGCGCTGGAATATTACAAAAATGGGCAATACGGTATGTTTAAATGGGCGTGGTTCACGACAATTTTTTCGGGGCTAGGCCCCGAAATTTCCATTGCCCCCCCCCCCCCGCATTTTTCAAGCTGGCGCCGCCGCTGCCGACAGCCCAAAAATAAATGGTCCAAATGATTAGAGAACGCCACCTTCAGTCTTATGATTGATAATTGGTAAAATATTCTGAGGATGAGGACCATCTTACAGGGCCGGCGAAACGTATTTGAAAGTGGGGGGGGGGGGGAATATGAAGGTCTTGAAGGGGCTTAGGTTAGGCTGCCACCATGGTTGGCGGCAAGAAATTTTT